ACCAGGCTCAATGCCAAGGATGCAAATTGTAGACCATGTCAACTCTAAACATTTGAAAGAAATAGTCTGCCTTTATCCCTTGAATTATCCACTTTACTAATTCAGTGCAAAGTGATATTTTTTAAGGGCCAGTATTTTAAAAACCATTCTATTTCACTATCTACAATAAAAAACAACAGTTTCTTTTTAAAGGTTTCCTCTTACCAATTTATTCCTTCATAAATAAGATGGAAATGATACGAGGTACTAAGATTATATGTGGCATTGATGCAAAGCAAAAATGTTGCCTAAAGCATGTTTTATATAACTGCAAATAAAAATGCTAAAAACACTTGCTGGATCTTGTGCTTTAACCTTCTCCACTGAAAGCAAAAGTCGTCAATATAGCCCTGAGCTTCCAACTTCACTGAAAGGCTGACCTATCAGATAGCAGATTTCACTACCCTCTTCTCTGGCTCACAGTCTCCTATGTGAGGTGCTCTTCCTTGTTTTAACTGTGGAAGGAAAGGGGGTAGGCAGGAGGGGAAACTATCAAATCACTGGTTTCAAGTTCAAATTCTTTATAAATGGCCTGAGACTGTGGTCAGCTTTCCACAGAGAGAAACACACAAGGTTTACTTTCTTTCCTAACTTTTATACTGCCAGAATACACATGTACTTTTACTTTCTTAGGAGAAAATGTGTCATTTGATTTCCTTCCAGTTTATCTACTTGTGCCAACAACTAAAATGCTTAAGGAACCAAAATGAATTACTACCCAGAAATGGTGGTCAAAGTTCCAAATTCTGATCAATAAAATTGCTCATCTACTCACAAATTAATCTTCAGCCAGTAAATTACACATTTCTGAGATTACAAGCACACCTGCATCATTAAGCATTTATTTTACTTGTTTAAGCAAGCTTCAAAAGCACATATTTATAAAAGAAGTCTACTATTTTTACTCACATATGATTTTCTTTTTGTAGCAAAACTCTCTTAATTCTTTTCTAATTAATAAGTGTCCTGAAGGCTATGTATTTCTATTTTCTTTCTTATGAGGCTCACCATGCCCATTATGGCAGTTTCATAATATGCACCAATTTGAATTTGATTAATTCAAACAATACTCATTTGGAATTTATGATGAGGGCCAATTTTAAATTTTTTTTATCATTCATAAACAAGTCTGCAAAGAAAATAAGCCACAAATGGGGGTATATGAGGTGTTTTCAATTACTGAGTAGAATCCTTTTTGAGAACTTCAGAAGCAACATTTATTCCCAATTAATGTCTGCCTTACAGACCACAACCTCACTCAATAAAGCAATCACCTTAGATTTGAAATAGTATGTGTATCTGCAAAGAATAACATTTCCCCCTCTTCTTCCTGAAATTAATCCTAATTGGGGATGTTTGGCTACATTTTCTTATCTCTATCGAGTAACCACTTATAGCCTCCTTTAACTTTCCATTTTCTTTTGTTTGTATCATCAGCCTGTGAAACTGGAGTGCACTGCCAAACATAAAGCAGGGAAGTGTGATATATGCTTAAAATATGAGTCACAGTGTATTTGGGGATTTGGGTTTCTTCCTTTTTCCCCTTTTAAGCTATTGCAAATCCTTCTTTCCTGACAAGTCTTTCTCTCTACAGAAACACTGAAATTTGGTAAAGTAGGTCTCTCACCGTAGTGATGAAGGGTGAGAAGATCAGAGACGAACACTGTTAAGATTTGCTATAGGACTTCCTTTTCATTTCAGAGCCACTCTGGCTGAGTTGTCCCTGCAAGAATGTGGCATAGCAAGATGTATTTAAACACGAGTCTGTGCGAGCATTTTTATAACAAGGTAATATACCATGTTGCTTGGGTTGGTAATTTCCCTTCTCTGTCTGTAGAATACCAGCCAAGCTTAAATAGAGCTTACTGAATTCACATGCCCCTACCTGAGAGCACAGGGGACATGCAGGAATACTCTCAGTCTCTCTCTCTCTCTTTCACACACACACACACACACACACACACCCCTCCCAGTCAACCAACTCTTTATTTTCCCCACCAGCAATTCTTAGACTTCACACAGTGACTGCAACAATGGGCTTACACTACCAGATTGTGACGATGGTGCAGAATGGGTATGGTTTCTCTCTGTTGTTCATGGGGTTCCAGTGGGCGATAGTTAACGCCATGGCACTCAACCACAAGTGTTAGAGCTTGTCTAAATTCTCTGCATGTCAACTCCTCTGCTTCCAGGGTGAATGGGGCCAAAAGATGTCTTCTTTAGCAAAAGCAATATTCAAGACTGTCCTCTCCTACTTTTTTTAGGAAAAAAAATTTATTCTTATTCTAGTTTATTTACAAAATTTGAATATGTTGGTTTTGAGAACAGAATCTTCCAATTTCCCTCACCATCCCCCCATCAAATTGTACACTTCTCCCACTTTTTATCCAGAATGAAGAGTTCAACTCAACTTGTTAGGTGAGCCTTAACTCTGCCTTTGCCATGCAAAAAAACAAAGTCCTCCTTATTATGTTCTCCTGTGTGGTGGCTAACGTAATGGGCAGTAAGAAAACTAACCCTCAAAAAGAAAGTCCCAGAAACTTTGCTTTATATTTAGCCTTAAAGGAACATCATCCATCTTGGAAAAGAAGTTGCCTAAAAATGTCATATGCATAAAAGAAGCAAGTACTACTTGCTGCTATTCACAAGAATCAAACTTTGGGCATGTTGCCAGGAGGGACCTTAGAGAAAAACATCATGTTTGGAAGGATGGAGAGTCAGTGCAGGGAAGACTCTGGATGAGATGGATTAACTCAGTGACTTTGGCTATAGGGTCAGGTGTGTCAGAGATGGTGAGAATGGCTTAGGATAGCTCAGGGTTCAGAGCTGCAGTTCACAGGATCGTTATGAGTCATAGAAGACTTGGTAACACAGAACAATTAACAACCTCATTCAAAAGAATCATAAACAACGCTGAATACAGGTGTGACCAGGACGATCAAGTATATGTGTGTTTGTGTGTGTTCACTATATACAACCAAAGCTCTTCTATGCGTGTAAGATCCCCCACCCCTAACAACACATTGTCATTTCTCGTATGCTCTTGAGGTCTTAAATTCAAGGGACTCATGATATTTTTAAGGCTGGAGAGCTGGAGAAGTGAGGCAAAAAGAATGGGTAGCCATTTGAATCACTGACTGACAGGCTGGGCTAGCTAGCTCCCTGTATACATTAATAAATTAGAATTTTAATTGTGTCTCTGTCTGCAGGAGATGCCCCAGCACTTTAATATATACCAACAATTGGCTATGTTATGGAATCTGCAGTGTGCCCTCTGCCGCTGACCTCTGAAACACAATTCCCAGTCTGACTACGGAAACTGTTCAGTTTGATCCTTTCAACTTATTTGAATCCTGACAAATAAGTTCACAGCTGAAAGGTCAACACAGTCATACTTCATCCTTCAGAGCTGTTCTTAAGACATCTGCACAACAAAGCACTTCTTATAGCACCTGACACAGGACCTCAATGGTGATCTGCCTCATTAAAAATGTCCCTGGCATCTAAACACATAAAAAGGCATACGGACCAGTGACTGTTTACCAACTAACTGTTTTTGGAAGTGTTAGTAAACAGTACACATGTTCATTCGATTGCTCCAATAAAGTGTCTGGATTGTGCTGAATGTTCCCTGGAGAGTGACAGTTTCCCAAGTAAAAGCAAGAAGGACTAGAATTTGGGGTTGCTTTCTCTTGGCAGGATAACCTAGAAACTGACCTGAGACAGGTCAACACAAGTTAGAAGTTGAGCTGCCCTTATAAGCAAATTAACTGGCACCAACTTACATCCCTCAGATACCAATGACCTTTTAGTCTAGTGGGGAAGCCGACCATGGCCCCCATTCTAGGATGCTCACCCTGAGCTCCAACAGCAGCTAAGCCATCTAATAGCTGGATCTGTTCTACCCTCATCTAATCTGATAATCCTAAATCAAGATACTAAAAATGTTCATTATAACTTCTGGCTCTAAGTCACATATCCAAACTAAATTTTTATTAACCTATTAACTTTTTTAGTCCATTATCCTCTACTCTCAATGCACCTTAAGTGCAAATTATCTAAAGAATCCTTTCGACAGTTAAATAAAAAGAGGGTGGGGTGGGAGTGTGCGGGGTGGGTGGGGAATATTGTATACCAATTAAGGAGTTTTTCTTTTGCTTTTCAAGAAGAGCGAACTGGGGGTGGGGGTGGGGTGAGCGGGGAGAAAAGTGCAACAATGAATTAATGAAAATCCACAATCTCTGTAGATGTTCATTGAAATGAATTTTTTTAAGAAGTTCTTATTTTACACTAATGGTTCAAAACAGTTTGAAAACTTCCCTGGAAGAACAGGTTATTTATTACACTTATCAACAGGTTTGATATTCCATGTACTGTAGCCTCCACAGTTTCAATGAAGCAAGGTTGCTCAATCTCAACCTCATTTTGGATACGTTATTATTGGGAAACTTTACTGTACACTGTATGGATTTACAATATTAAGCAGTATTCCTGGTCCCTCCCCTCTATCTATTAGATGTCAGTGATAACTCCTTCCCCTAGTGTAACAATCAAAAATGTCTCCAGACATTGTTCACGGTCCACAGAACTACTCTAGTCAAGGACCACCAAACTAAAGTGTGTATGTGTGTGTACACTGCATTTCTATATTCATTGCGGAAACACATTGGTGACATATTTGATTATCATGAACTTTTTCTCACTGGTAATCTTTACAATGCCTCTTATGCAACTCAATACCTATGACCACTGATTAGTAAATATTTTTGTAATCTCAACAATGAATTATTTGGTCAAACAGGCATTTCCCCCATGTTGTCATAGTTTGCTGGTAAAAACTAAAAGTGTACCTCCGCAGAAGATTCTCTTGTGTAATTTTCTATCCTCAGCAATTTACTTCTGAATTACTTATCATCTATCTCAAAGTGTATTACGGTCACTTTTTAAAAAAGTATTGGTACCTGTAGGGCTGGTTGTTTGTCATTCCTCTTGGGGGATTTTAGTCCACTACCTTGAGTCTGTGGCTGTGACTGTGGTTGCTGTTGCTGTTGAAGAAGGAGCTGTCTTGCCACCTGAAGTGCCTAGAAGGAAAAAACAGTAGGAAACAATGCTTACGTTACTGCATACGCTTGGGTGCCTCATTCACAGGAAAGATTCCAGGATGTACCCTTCGTTGGGACTGGATCCTTACTTTTACATTTCCTGACAAATAAAAGAGCAAACAAAACTTTCCACCAGCCTAAGTTGGACAACTTTCCATAGTTTGTTTACATATTCTTAGATTTGGCCTTTTTCATCCACTATACTTTAACCCTAGCAACTCATCTAAGCAGAGATTTTCCTCCTAACAAAAAGTCTGACACAAAACTTGGAGTGAATAAGAAGACTGGGGGGATAATGGCAGAGAAAAGACAGGAGGGAAGTGGGCAAGAACAGGTCCTCTCCTACCCCCAGTTCTCCTGGGAGGAAATGAGGTCTCAAGTTAAAAGGAACAATTATACTCCATCTGAGTTCAAATAAAGAGGAAGAACTAAGAGGTGGCCCACAGGAAAACAATTTCGCCCCAGAGAAGTTTATTTGGGAAGAAAGACCAAAACTGGGTGGCATTCCTTGTATGATACTGATGGACTATAAAGAGTAACAAGTTAGCAAATTTGACCTCTCATAATTTTAAAGAGCATGTTATGGGACTTTAAACACTTCTGGCCCCATAAGCAACAAGTGACTCTTTCAAGTGTTTGGTTGGTTTTTTTCAAAGGTAGAAATTGGAAGATGGTAAGAATATCAAGCAAAAGAAGAACAGGACAGTTCTCCAAAAGTAAAGAAGTATGGCTGATCAATCTTTCTGCAACTTGCTAATAGAAAGGGAAAAAAGGCACCATGATTCATCCTTTGTGTCTCTCTGGAGACTAAGGTACGTCTGATACAGGCCATGGTCTTCTCAATCACTTGTTATGCATCAGAGAGTTGGACAATGACCAAGGAGGATAGAAGGAGAATTGATGCCTTTGAGATGTGGTGCTGGAGAAGAGTATTGAGAATACCATGGACTGCTAGGAAAACAAACAGATTTGTCCTGGAAAGGGTTAAACCAGGTGGCTCCTTGGAGGCAAGGATTCTGAGGCTCCATCTAACATACTTTGGACATGTTGTGAGGAGAGACCGGTCCTTAGAGAGGGACATCATGCTTGGGAGGCTGGAGGGACGGCGCAGGAGAGGAAGGCCCTCTATGAGGTGGACTGATTCAGTGACTGAGATAATTGGGATGGGAGTGTCGGAGACAGTGTGATTGGCACAGGACAGAGTGGAGTTTAGGGCTGTTGTACATAGGGTCGCTATGAGTCGCAAGCGACTCGACGGCACATAACAACAACAAACAACAACATACTAACTAGCCACAGTTTATCAGAGAGAGCTAATGTAAAGTTTTGTGGAGGAGTCAGGGTTTCTTGAGTCCCCTTTACCTGCCAACCATGAAGAGGTGTCAAAAAGGAGAATTAAATGATGTGTTTAGATTCTAGAAACTGAGATTTTGTCTTTTTGCTAATGTTAATTTCTATACATGACATGGCTCATCAAAGACACATATAGAGATGTAGTCAATGGACTAACTCTAGTAATGTCATCTCAGAAAGTGCTATGATGAAACTTATGATGGCTGGCCCTTTACAGAAGACAGAGATTTCACTTATGGAAGGAAAAAAAAAATGGAAAGTTGCAAGAAAACTTCTAGTGTCAATGGTGTAGTGGAGCAAAGGACAGAGCAAATATGAGTTGTTCATGAGTGAAGACCTAAAATTGTTTAGCTGGCAAAAATAGTGCTTCTAGGGAGCACTAGTGGCCTACTGGCAAGAAACTGAGCTACAACCTGGAAGGTACACAGTTTTTGAATCCACCAGATGCTCTGCTAGAGAAGGATAGGCAATATCCTCCTATGCTAGTCGGATCCAAGTCAAGGATACACAACAATAAAAACCAAAGTAGTGTTTCTGCTAAAAGTGTAAGTCACTAAACATGGTTCATCATCATGGTAATGGAGCAATCAAATATTTAAAGACACTTTATCAGGTCTAGCAGTGCCTTTGTGCTTTAGAGGTACAAAGTAAGGTGATCAAACAGCAGCCAATATAAAGAGGTAACTAAAGAAAGATGGAAAGATGGAACTCTCCTACCCCACTTCCCCACTCCACTTGTCCCCAGAAGAACTGCTGCCAATTGAACTCACCACCAGCCCTTCAGATGTAATGCATAGGCTATTTCATCTGTGAAGGGAGGAACATGTTGAAGAGAGCCTGCCTGCAAGACCCTGGAGAAAAGGGGCTGGCTGAGAGGGGCATATGGAAGCCAAGATGCCTGGGAGAGTTGCCTGAGATTCCAGCCTGCTATCTCAGTGGAGAGGATTCACCATGACTGGACGCCAGGCTTCCTTGTCTCCTTGGAGACATTCAGTACACGCGTAGGTGTAAAAGTGGGCAGAGTGAAGATTTCATTTATATCATGTAAGAAAAACAGTCCCCTTTGCAAGGTGCCTACAGGAGCAAAAGTCTCCCCTCCTACTATATATGCTCCCTTAGCTATTTCCTATGAACGGTTTACAGCGTTTTAACACAGGAAAGGGAACTGTTATGTATTTTAAGTGCTACTGCCAGAGTTCTCAGAGTAATAGACTTATCAGCTAGGAAGGGTCTGATTGCTAGCTGGAAAAGCAGGCAGTGGGGATGTCGATGACAGTGACAAGACAGTGTAAAGGCAGATACTGTGAGGAAGAGGCAAGAGATAAGATATATTGAATACTAAAATAGAGCAAGCAAAGGAAAGAAAGTGATGGCTACTCTCCACAGTCACAAATCCTTGGTAAAATAATTTACGATGAATCACTAAATATCTGCAGATATTTACTCTACTCTTAAATAACCAAGTCTCTTTATTTTCAGCTTTTTGCATGAGTTTGAATGTCTTTAAGAATCACACATATAAACCTTCTTATATGAACATGTCATAAATTCACTTAAGGAAAAGAAAGTATAGAATTGGAACTTTTCCTTTTAAAAATAAAATCATTTCATTGTGGTTAAGTAAGTATAATACAAATATTGCCATTTAATAAGTGTACAATTTAGTTAATGTCAATGACATCCATCATGTTGTACAATAATCCCAAACTTATTTTTTCAGCAAAGGCTTACTGCATTGCTGATAAACAAGGATTACAGATTTCAAAATTAGCTACAAGGACCTTTGGACTTATTTTAGAAGTATATTTATTTGTATAATGTCTTTTCCAGACACAACTGGGGGTTCCTGAACTCACATAATTATACAATCATCTCTAGCTCCCTCATCATTTCACACAGACAGAGCTTTAGTATAGTAGAGAATAAAAATTAGAAATGGGCAGAAATCATTTATGAACTTGCCTAGGAACAAAGGAGAAATTTTAATCAGATCATTCAAGAGAGAGGAATCCAAGACAAAGATGTATAAACTGATCTCAAAATTTGTTCCCGTAAATAAATGTAAACCAGTGAAATAACCCCAAGCATTTAGGATGGAAAGACAATACTACTGCAAAATATTTATTTATTCTGATATGGATTGATATAAACAGAAATCATGCCATAGCAATTTCTTGCTTTTATTATAAATATGATAACAAAACTAAAGGATTAGCAAAAATATATGAGGTGAGGTATGAAAGATTATCTAATGTCTGAGCAAGAATTTTTAGAGTTTCTTAAAATTTAGAAAGTGTTTTGAAGTCAAAACACTAAAGAGTGTTTTCTTTTCTAATGTCCATGACACTATAATCAAGATTTTCAATTTTCACAACAAAACGAGAAGAGAAGTAACTTTTTTAGTGTATAAAACGATGGCTCCAGGCATTAGAATACAAATTCTGGCATAGAGGATATGGAAAAAATAATAAATGGTTATGGCCCTACTTAGTGTGGGTCAATGGAAACTTGGAATGACTTCTAAGAACTCTTTCAGAAATTCCACCAGAAATCTACATTCATTTAGTATTTTTGTATACACTTACCGGTTAACTATATTTTACCTGTTACATACATGCATTGAATCTCTGATCTCAGAATTCACTGCCTAAATCTTAAAGATTATTTTTGTCCCACCAAGATTAAGGAGTGAAGATAGACTTTTCATATTTTTATGATCGTCTCTCCCGAGCACAGAGAATACTGAAGTTATCAAAGATTTCACTTTAGTTGGACTGACAATCAATGCCCATAGAAACAGACATCAAGAAGTCAAATAAAGTATTGCACTGGGCAAATGTGCAGCAAATTATCTCTGTAGAGCATTAAAAGGCAAAGCTATCACTCTTGAGGACTAAGGCTTGCCTAAAGCAAACCATGGCATTTTACATCACCTCATATGCATGAGAAAGACCAGGGAAGAACTGAAGAATCTGAATTATGGGGTTGGTAAAGAATATGGAATGCACCATGGGTTGCCAGAAGAACAAACAACTCTGCCATGGAAGACATATAACCAGTATACTCCTCAGAAACAAGAATTACTTCTCACTTACTTTGGACATGTTTTAAAAGAAACCCATTCCTGGAAAAGGTCATCAGGCTTGGCAAAATAGAGAGCCAGCAGAAACAAAAAAAAATCCCTTCAATGAGATGGATGGACACAGTGGCTGTAACAATGAGCCCAAGCATGGCAATGACTGTACAAGTGGTACAAGACTGCAGTATTTTATTTTGTTGTACATAAGAGTCATTATGGGTTGGAACCAAATAAGACAGCATCTAATAACAATGACAACATCTCAGTCACTTTTATAGAAAAGTCTCTTAATATATACTTTTTTGAGAGAAATGAGATTCTGTGGATACATAATCATAATGTGTGTAGATAGGTGTGAGTGTAAATGAAAATATGATAGAAATTCTCTCTTAAAAAGAATCAACTTTGGTGTATAAATCTCAGTTTCTGCCTCAGTTCTCATTTCCTCAGCATATAATCGAAGTAGTGGAATAGCTGGGTCATATGGAATTTCTTTTTTAAATTAATTTTAATGAAAGTTTACAGGGACTTAGGCTTTCCATTCATT